GAGCGGAGCGCACACGCATAGAGCGGGATAATACGCAGAGCGTCACACCACGTGAAAGTGAAACCTGAGCGGTGAACTAATTGTCGGCAGCCGAAATTTCGTTGCATCTCTAATTATTGGCGACATCAGAAATGGATATTATATAATAGATGCTTTTTTTGAACATTTTAGCAATTTAAAAATATTAAAAAATGATTTTTTACACGGCACCCCTGCTCTCGACAGACGGCACCCCGGTTGGGAAACACTGATGTAAGCTATAGATTCTGACCTTTAAATCAAAATATACTCGTGATTTTATGACATCATTTACTGCTTTATTTAATCAGAAACACAATCTTAATGTTATTTGTGTATAATTTTACTTTCATTTTATTACTATTAGCCCAACAACGCCCCCTAGACCAGACGTGTCGTTCTGTATCTGCATTCGCAAATTAAATGCTGCGATCAAAAACAGTGAATCTAATCACTATTCATGACAACGTTTGCTTAAAGAATGAAACACTGTTGATGTGATCTTATCGCTAGCACACCCTGAGCACATGTGAGCTATTCGTCTTATCGGCGAGGCATATCGGCATAATTTTTCATATCTGGCCGATGCCGATATTTATATATTAAACTAGGGATGCACCGATACCGATACTGGTATCGGTATCGGGCCCGATACTGGTCTACTGTACTCGTACTCGCACTCATTAAAATGCCCCGATACCAAACGCCGATACCACACAGCATGTGTTAAGCCATATTCAAACAAAGAAACCCCGACAACAGAACAACAGACAGCAGAAAGGAGTTAAGGATGTCTACTACGAAGTATATGTATGCAATGAATATAACGTTAAACATTCAGTATTAACGCCTGTATAGCTGATGTGCGCGAGCTGATAAACAAAGCACGCTGAGTGGATTGAGCGCAGATGCGCGTGCGCGAGCTTGTCGAGTGAATATACCTTTCTCACAGACATCACTCCGATAATATCGTCCCTAAAAAAAAACATTTGTTGAAAGATGAAGCAGTACTAGATCTGACTGCAGCTGCATCACAAACCGCAAGTAAATTATTTCACAATGACCGTTTTATTAGATTATGTTGTCAAAACACTTTAAAACATGTAATAGCGAGGGGGTGTTGATACTGTTTCCTATGCAGTGACGTTAGCCAATCATAACAGTGGCTGATACCTCACAAGCCTTAAAGGACTTGCCCCTTAAAACAGGTCGTCAGAATGGGAGTTAAAAATAATAATTTTTCCACATTTATTTGCTTGTTTTTTTTGTGCAAAAAACTTAATTAACATAAGTAAACCTCAAGGAACATATTAAAATAATTTAAAAAAACCCATGTCATAACCCTTATGAAGTGTGCATTACAGCACTCTATTTACATGCACTTCCATTGACATATATCAGCATGTCAATTTTTCAATGTCAATTACTGCAATTTTAAGATTTAATACTACATTTACATATGTTTGTCACTGACAAAACCTTGCCTTGTGTGCTTAGGAGCATGAAAAAAAGAAACTTATCCAAATTATGAATGAATTACGGTATATAAAAATGCGAGTCCGTATAAAAAGCATTCCGTTTACAATCGAGAACCAATTATACTGAAATTTTTGCGGAATTGGTACTGGCTTGTCTGGACACAAACACAAAATTATGTCAAGATGAATCAGAGGGAAATTAGGAGAGCTTTGTGATCTTCAGATACAATGTATTATGTTTTGAGGAATATTTTTGGCATACTACAAGGCTCGAAATTGCGACCATTTTGGTTGCATATGCTCCAATAATTTAATCTGTGCGACCTCAAAATATATTTGGGAGCATTTGTGCGAGTGCATATTAGGCTTGCTGCGATAGACGTGTTTTCAGTTATGTTAAGCCGCAACACCGGTTACGTCATTTGCCTACCGCGGCACCGCCCCCCACCGTGGTTTAGATTTTTTTATAGTAACAAAAATCATTTAGCCTAGTTCAGTTAGAGGACAGACGCTCAATGTAGCGTGCCGAACCGTGCGCGAATGACAGTGCACCACGGAGCAGGAGTCAGATTTTATTTATCACGTGAGGAGAGTGAGTCGAGCTGACTGACAAGAGTGAGATGAGAAAGACAAGACGATGGCAGAAGACTGTTTAGAAAGGAAATGCAAAGGCGCCTGCTCGGCAATATTTTAGATTTTGAAAAGCCTATTGACTGGAAGTTTTTTTTAAACATTTGTTTCTTATTAAAAATAAAGGTGCTTCACGATGCCATAGAAGAACCTTTTTGTCTAAATGGTTCCATAAAGAACCTTTAACATCTGAATAACCTTTCAGTTTCACAAAAGCTTCTTTGTGGTGAGAGAAGGTTCTTCAGATTATATAAGGCTAAGAAAGAGATGGTTCTTTAAAGAACCTTTGACTGAATCAAGGCTCGAAATTGCTCCCATAATTTAATCTGTGCGACCTCAAAATATATTTGGGAGCATTTGTGCGAGTGCATATTAGGCTTGCTGCGATAGACGTGTTTTCAGTTATGTTAAGCCGCAACACCGGTTACGTCATTTGCCTACCGCGGCACCG